GACCAACATTTAGGTCATCTGAAACAAGTCTGTGAGACTTTGAGGAAAGAATAATTATATGCTAATCCTAAGAAATGTGTGTTCCTCATAGATAGTGTTACTTTTCTCGGGTTCATAATATCATCTCAAGGGATTTCAGCCGACCCTGAAAAGATTAGAACGATCAATGAGTGGCCTTTACCCAAGAACATCAGGGCGTTCAGAGTTTTCATGGATTAGCCACTTTCTATCAGAGGTTTATTAGGAGTTCAGTACAATAGTGGCCCCGATAACTGACTGCATAAAGAAAGGAGATTTTCATTGGACGTTATCCGCCACTAAAGTTTTTGAGGAAATTAAGAAAAAAATGGTTGAAGCCCCTGTTATGCTTCTCCCCGATTTTTCAAAAGTTTTTGAAGTAACTTGCGACGCTTCAGGGATCGGTATAGGCGGAGTTTTATCGCAAGAAGGGCACCCCGTGGCCTATTTCAGTGAAAAACTAAATGACATCCGACATCGATACTCTACCTACGACAAAGAGTTTTATGTGATTATCCAATCCCTTAGATATTGGAGACACTACCTTCTGCCTCAAGAATTTGTGATATTTTCAGACCACGAGGCATTGCATTACATTAATTCACAGAAGAAACTCAACGCTCGTCACGGCCGTTGGGTTGAATTCCTGCAAGAGTATACTTACACGATTAGACATAAAGCAGGAACTGAGAATAAGGCCGCTGATGCCCTGAGTCATAGAATGATGGTTACCCGTGAACTGAGAATGGAAGTAATTGGTTTTGAACGAATTAAAGAGGATTACTTGGAATGCCCTGATTTTCATGAAATGTACTCCCTGCTGACAAGTGGCAACGATCGTAGGAGGGATACTTGTTTAAATCTCAAAAACTTTGCATTCCTAGAACCTCTCTTCGAGAATTCCTTATGTGGGAACTACACGCTGGAGGCCTAGCCGGGCATGTTGGGCAAGCAAAGACCATTGCCGTAGTTGAACATAGATTTTTCTGGCCCAGCCTCAAGCGAGATGTTAGTAGATTGGTCAAACGATGTCATACATGCCAGTTGGCTAAACAACGAAAGCAAAACACCGGCCTCTACATGCCACTTCCCGTCCCTAATTGCCCGTGGTTTGTTTTAGGTTTACCCAAAACCCTTAGGAAGCACGACTCTGTTTGTGTTGTAGTAGATCGCTTCTCTAAGATGGTCCATTTCCTCTCATGTTCCAAAACGTTTGATGCCTCTAAGATTGCCAAGTTATACTTTGATGAAATTGTCAGACTTCATGGACTCCCCAAAACAATTGTGTCGGATCGAGATGTGAAATTTACTAGCTATTTTTGGAAAACTTTATGGCTTAAGATGGGTACTAAACTGTAGTTCTCTACGGCCTTCCACCCAAAAACGGATGGTCAAACGGAAGTTGTCAATAGGAGCCTTGGGAACCTTCTTAGGACTTTGGTAGACTAACACGTTAGAGATTGAGATTCTAAACTGCCTATCGCCGAATTTGCTTATAATAATTTTGTTAATCAGACCACAGGTATGAGTCCAGCTGAGATTGTATACGGATACCAACCTAGGCAGCCCATATATTTAATTCCCATGAATCCTATAAGCTTAGAGTGTCAGAGTCTGCATTTGTATTTGCATGTCATCTCCAGGAATTGCATAAAGAGATTAATAAAAGAATTGCACAAAGTAATGATAAATAGAAACTTAATGATGATCTTAAACGGCGATTCAAGGAGTTCGAAGTTGGAGACTATGTCATGGTTCGGATTTGTCCGGAACAGTTTCCTCCAGGGGCCGTTAAGAAATTACATGCTAAAAGCGGGCCTTTCAAAATAACTTCCAAAATAAACAGTAATGCTTATGTATTAGACCTTCCAGAAGGTTTCAACATGAATCCCATGTTTAACATCGAGGATCTAGTAGCCTTTGATTGCCCTGATTTTCACCCTGAAAATCCACTAAATATTGAGCCTTGTGAGACCATACCAAGTGAGATCCTGAGCCTACCTCCACTCCCTAAAATTCCCACATTACCTAATACGGAGAAGATATAAACCATACTCAGTGATAAAATCATTTCCACCAGGGATGGCAGGCGCCGAAGATACCTAGTTCAATGGAAAGAGAAGCCGAAGACAGAAAACACATGGATGGATCGCGAGGAGGTATAGAAATTGGACCCCGACCTTCTAGAGCTGTACGAGAGTTCGTAGGACACCTACTCGACGGAGTCGAGCTTTCTTCCACCTGGGGAGAATGACGCGGACATCAGTCAGAGATTTCGACACGTGTACCATCGACGGAGGCGTAGATCAATGACCAGGATTCATAGTCTCTACTTTTGACATGTTTGTTGTAATTTTTATTTATGTTATTTCAGTTTTCTAGTCCACCCCTGAGGGTAGTGAGTGTCTTTTGTATCCCCATGGGCATTTGTATCTTTTTTTTCTTTTAGACTTGAGATCCATATATAAGGGTCTCCATGCTTTGTATGAGGAGTTAGTTGATGAATGAAAAATTTTATCTTATTGTTCTCTTTGTGAGTTCCAAAACTTCTCTAGATCTCTTTGTGAGTTCTTGAGGAGAGAGCATTTAGATCTCTTTGTGAGTTCTAGTGGTTCAATGAGTAAGGTTCGTGATTCTTAATTTTCTTATCTTCCTCCTCCAATCACTTCCTCTCCCTCCTCAAGCTCTTCCCAAGACCCATTGCCCCTTCCCCTTGTTCTCTCCCACGGTTTTCACCACCCAACCCCATCCCGCCGTCCCCTCCCAGCTCTACCGCCGGCTGGAGCCCCTGCCAGCCCGACAGCCCCATCCCCCCGCCCCCCTCAGCCTCCTAGTCTTGCCGCTGGCCCCCCCATGATCCCCTCTTTGAATTTCAAATTCCATTGAGTAAATTACTTTCCTAAAATAGTCTTTCTTTATTTAGGAAAGTCAGTCAATGGGAATTAACTCAATTTTGAAATTCAAACCTCTTTTCCTCCCTTATTCCACTAAATTGGGAAACTTTCTTAAATTAAAACAAATCTGAATTTAAATTCAGATTTGATCTTAATTTAATTATTCCCCTTGGGCCCCACCTAATTAATTCCAAGCCCCTCTCTCTCCCCATATGGCCGGCCACCTCTCCCCTATTGTTTCTCTCTCCAATTGCCACCTCATCACCACTTAAATACCTCTTTAATGCCTCCCTCTCACAAATTTTAATTTCAGATTTCAAAATCTGAAATTTGAAATTGAATCTTCCCTCCTTTCTTATTTAGAATCTGAAATTAAACTTCAGATTTATTCTCCCCACAAAATAGCATCACCCTCTCCCCTCTCTCCCTCCCAAACCATGATCCCCTCTTCCCCCTAGCCCACGGCCCCCCAACCTAACCTAGTTTCCACCAAGGAGCCTAGCTTCTCCCCTCCACATCTCCAAGCCGGCCACCACCTCTCCTCTCTTGGGTTGTCTTACCGTGCTCTCTCATCTACATGCAAATTATGTATGGCGGATCCCGAAGTTGACCACAGATTCGTACTCGACGCCCACGGAGACATCCACATCGTTCGATCACCATTATTCAACTTCGGGTTTGGTTTTGACGACACCGTTGAAGATTACTTGAACCGAATCCTCCCCCATCTCGTGGACATCCTCGACGATCAATTCTCGGACTACGAGTGGACCATCAACGGCCACCACCCGTTTCTCCAACTCCCACTTCTCCCCCGGCGACAAGTCCTCTCGGCATCACTTGTGTACTAGTGGTATCTCTAAGTGTGATTACGATCCTCTTCTGCTAAGCTCCACTCTCAAGAGTTGATTAAAGGATCTCAAGGTGAAGGATCGATATTTTAAACCAAGCAGCCGGCCACCTCCACCACCACCGCATCCCTCTCCATGACTACGGATCGTCTGCGCCGTCTACCTTGGAGTGATTTCGTTTCTTGTATGGTTCTTCTTCCTCCGACAACCCTAGACGTAGAAGAGTGACTTTGAGCCTCAAGGTGAGACGATCACTTTGTTAACCGTTGGATTCTAGTTGACTAATCATTTCATTACTCTTGTTTAAGTTGTTATTTTAAAGAACTTGCAAATTTAGTTGTAATGGATTGCCTAAGCATCGTTTGCTTCTAAGAGCTTTCTTGATCCTTCAATTTTGAGACGCCTTAAGATTAATTTTATCATTGCTTCAACAACTTTTATTAATTTCTTAAAACAACTCCTGGTTTTACATCAATTACAGCATGTTTTCTTATATGTTGGTATTGAATGTTAGGCAGTACAACACAATATTCCTAGGAATTGTAAATTGTAATAGGTTAAGCAAATAAGCTAAAGTTAAAACGCAATCTAGTAATTTTCTTAGCTTACAATAGCTCATATTTTTCACCAACCAAACGGCTTAATCTTACTTAAAGACTTAACTTAGATTAGCTTGTTTGATTTAGCTTAAACTACAACCTAATAAACCCTAAGAATTACTTGGGGCTGGTAGTAATTAGCGAACTTTGAATTTCATTCATTTCTAATTGCTGGGTTATTTCAACGTATTTTCTTACATGATTGCAGCCTGGGTTAGGCACTGCATCAAGTTTTCTACGGGCTTAGGATGGAATGAAAAAAGAAAGGAGGTGATCTGGTGATGACAAACTTTGTTTTCTATGCAGGCTTTTTTATCGTGCATTATCAATTTTCCTTTTGGCTATGACTTAAAATATGATCACCATAAATCAGAAATTGAGACAGATCATGCAAAAGCAATGCTCATATAGCTGAGTTTAATTGCAAGACATGTTTCTTCTTGTTGTGGATGTACTGCTTTTGCCTTTACCCTAATTACATACAATGTTCTGTTTGAAATTCAGAATTTTTATTGCTCGCCTTCATCAGCCCCATATGATTTTCCTCTAAAACATTGCTTGTTAAATCGTCTCTGTTGTTTGTCAAAGATAATTTTCTTTTCTACCTCTATTAAGCTTCTTATATACTTAATATCCAGGTCAAGGGTTTTGTTACTAAGATGGAAGAATGTATGGGCGCATGCGATTGCATAATTACAAAGGTAAATCTTCTATTCTTGTGATGACGAATTTTTTATCTGATAGTTACATAGTTTTTTTTTTAATTAGCTATACAAATTTTATCTGCAGGCTGGGCCAGGGACTATTGCTGAAGCCATGATTCGTGGTCTCCCTATTATTCTCAATGATTTCATTGCTGGCCAGGTAAAGTAGTTTTCTCAAATCCATTAGAGTATTTCCTTACATCAAGGTAGCGTTCGGAATCTTCATGCACCATTTGACAAAGCAATTCAACTTTAAACATTTTGCTAGTTGATGATATATTAACTCATGTAACTTGTATATTTTTTAGTCAATTTCTATTCTAATAATATGTTTAGAATCTAGAGAGTTTAAACATTTCAATTTTGGACTGATCCTAATTAGCAATTTGGTCTTTTATTAGTAATACTTTCTTTTAGGGGCTGTTTGGTTGAAAGTAAAATGGGTGTAAAGTTTTTCAAATGCAGGAGTTTTGAAAATATTGATGTTTGATTGGAAGAAAAATGAATGCAAAGTAAAATAAAGTAAATGTAGTGTAAACCAATTTAATTCATTTTGGGGTGGATTAAACTCGCCCAATTTTAAGAAACAACTCCAAAGTATTCTTTTTGCACTATATTCCTTTACTTTGCATTTTCTTTTACACTGCATTCATTTTATATCGCATTCATTTTACATTGCATCCCTTTTTTAGTCAACCAAACAACCCCTTAGTTCCAAGTTTTCCTTTAGTTCAAAGAGTTGTTGATGGAATCTATTGTGCTTAGTTCAGGTCTTATCATGAAATCTCATTCATCCTATTACTCATGGAAGCAATTTTTTATGATGCTACCTTTTCTATATCCATTTCTTTACATATATCCCATTCTGATACCAATTACTAATGCTCGATGATCCAAACAACATATCTAGTTTTGAGATTTTGAGAGAGAGAGAGAGAGCATGCCTATTTTTTCCTTAATTTTTTTGTTTTTATATCTATCGCTTTATATAATCTTCAACCTCAATATTTCGCCATTGACTATAATCTATATCATAAGAATCGTATGATTTAGTTTCATCAATTTCTTTTATGGTTTAATCATTCATCATGCATGTGAAAAATATTAAAAAAAAAAATGGATGACACATAATACCATTTTGGAAGTCTAGTTTTATTCATATATTTCACCAATTAAAATCACTCAATACATGCAATCATGCATTTATTTGATTCGAAGTCATTTGAATGTTTTTTATACTTTGAAATCTAACTTATTTTCTCATGTAATTCGAGCCATTTATTAAGAAAGTTTTGATGCATTTAATTAATGATCATACAATCTTTATCTTATATTTGAAAGCCATAACATCAAAATTTAATTTAGTGGAGAATGATAATTATCCTAAAAGTGAGGTCTGTCTGTCTTTTATATATACTGTTGCAGTTATGATTTCTTTCCAAATTGACAGAAGAAATGGAGTTCTCTCCAGAATCTTTTCCTTGATATGATTATGGCCATCCTTTTTGTCTTTCTTCATAAACTTATATTTTTCTCCTCAAATGCCCTTTTCTGGATTTTAAGTTCATATTCTCATTCTACGTTGCTGTGTCTATGTGCGTTACTGTCACCTCTCCCTTGCAACCACCGCCATCCTTTTCCTCCACTCAATAACCACCATTACAACTACGGACACTCTGTTAAATTGGCCGCAAAGGAATCTGTTACGCCTGCTCCCACGCCGGCTGGACCGGTCCAGGTTTTTGTTCGGCAGAAGAGGAAACAGGGAGAGGGGGCGGAACTCTTGTGGGCCCCATGATGGGCTTAATGCAATTTTTTGGGGAAAGATTTGAATGTAAGGGTTGATTAGGTAATTTGTAATTCTCCTTTCATGTTAATTAGGGGAATAGGAAGGAATTAGAATTATCTTGAATTTGAATGAGATTTGAGATCTAGGGTTCTTGTGCTTTGGGCTCTTGGCATTGGCGTTGCCGGAGATTTGGAGAGTTGTTCTTCCTCTCGAATTGAAGAACAATTGTATCTTTTCCATTTTACTTCATCTTTTAGTGAAATACAAGTCTCTATTTGAGTTTCTCTTTCATATTTCTCTATTTTCCTGCTGTAAACAGCAGATTTCTGCTGTATTCCTGTTGTGGACAGCAGTATTATGGCTGTTTGATCACCGATTTGGGTTAGGGTTGCTTGCGAACTCAAGTATTATCTTAGGGTTACTTGCGAACTCAAGTATTTCCTATCAAATTGGTATCAAAGCATCGATTTGGGACCGTTGGCGGCTGAAATCTGGAAATTTCAGGGGTTTTTTTTTTCCGAAAGAAGATCTTCGTGACTCTTGAGAAGATAGATGGCCGGGAAGAAGGTAGAAGTCTTGGAAGGCGAGATCGGGCAACTAAAATCAGATTTGGAAGGAAAGTTCTTTGACTTTCAAACTCAAATCACCTCCAACAATGAAAGGATAGAGAGGAAATTCACGGTGATGAAAGAAATGTTGAAGAAACTGTTGGAGTTGAAGACAAATCCTACAACATTGGAAGCAAGAGAGACCACCGGAGGCCATGGTATAGGGGGAAATCCAAACCCGTTTAGGGGGAGGAGAAATCTGGAGGTAGAGGTCATTGAGGGGGAGGACGACATGCCACCTCTAGTGCCACTTTCTAGAGAGGAGATGAGTTTGAGAAATGATCGGAGGGGTGCTGATTTCATCGGGAGAATGGAAGAATTTCATCACTGGGGTGCTGATTTTGAAGGGAGAAGAGGGGAATATGATGAAGGGTTTGGGTATAATTGCCGGAGGGAAGATCGTGACAGTTGGGGAGCACCTACTCTTCGAGGAATGGGAGGTTATGGAGGATTCAGGGGACACGGGGGAGACCCACGGGTGAGGAAGCTGAAGATGCCTGTCTTTGAGGGTGAAGATGGTCATGGCTGGATCTACAAGGTGGAGCGTTATTTCGCTGTCAACGAGTTGACAGAGGAAGAGAAGCTGGCGGCGGCGGGATTGTATTTGGAAGGAAAAGTCTTGGCCTGGTATCAATGACATGACAGGAGGGAGATCATATGGAGCTGGAGAGAGTTCAAAGGTTGCTTATTGGAGCGTTTTCGAGCCGATGGGGGAGGAGACTTCTATGAACAATTCTTTGTTTTGACTCAGGAGGTGATTGTGGCAGACTATCGGGACAAGTTCGAGTAGTTGGCTAGTAGATTGGATCACATTTCAGAGTCAGCCTTGGAAGGGAACTTCATGAATGGGCTAAGACCTGAGATACGAACAACAGTCAGGGTGCTGGAGCCGAGAAGCCTAGGGAAGGCTATGGAGCTGGTGCAGTTGATGGAAGATCAAAAGAAATCAGAAAGAGGAGCTCGAGGGAACTATTCAGGGGGATCATACAAGATGACTACCACATTCTTACCATCCAAAGGGGCAGCGCCAGGGGGGTCTGAAGGAAGCACCAAATGAGAAAACTGGAGGGGGGAATGGTGGACAATTCAAAATATTGACAGAGGAGGAGATGCATGATAAGAGGGCAAAGGAGTTGTGCTTCAAATGTGATGAGAAGTATATGCCGGGGCATAGGTGCAAGGACCGAACTCTTGAGGTTCTCATTGTATGTGAAGACGAGGAAGATGAGGAGGGAGGTGGGAGTAGATTTGAAGAGGAAGAGGAGAAGTTGCACCAAGATGTGGCAGAAGTATCTTTGAACTCTGTAGTGTGATTCACTCCGAGTCACACTATGAAAGTCAATGAAGAGATAGCTGGCCGTGAGGTGGTGGTGTTGATTGACAGTGGGGCAACCCATAATTTCATTTCCACCCAGATCGTTGAGCTGTTAGGGATGGAGTTAGTGGATATAGGAGGCTATGGGGTGATGATGGGCACGGGCAAGGTGGAAATGGGTAGAGTATGTAGAGGGTAGTGCTGAAGATTCAAGGGATCCAGGTGAGGGAGGACTTCCTTCCCTTAGAATTGTGGAGTGCTGACGTCATCCTAGGGATGAAGTGGCTGCAAACATTGGGTGAGACCAAGATCAATTGGGGGACATTAAGGATGGAACTGGTGATGGGAGGAAGGAGGACGATTCAGGGCGATGCTGGCCTGACCAAGGTTGGGGTATCTCTCAAATCCATGATCAGATCCATACAGGAGGTGGGAGGTGGATATTTGGTGGAACTGCAACGCTTGAAGAGGGTGAGTGTGGGGGATGAGGGAGACATTCCACTAGTGGTGCAATCGCTCATACAGTAGTTCAGGGAGGTGTTCCAGCCACCTCAGGGCTTACCACCACCCAGAGAGCAGGAGCATGCAATCCTTTTGAAGGACGGGGTGTCACCAATTAGTGTTCGACCTTACCGCTACCCTCAGATTCAAAAAGATGAGATCGAGAAGCTCATCAAGGAGATGTTGGAGGCAGGAATAGTCAGACCCAGTGTGAGTCCTCTCTCTAGCCTCATCCTACTAGTCAAGAAGAAGGATGGGAGTTGGAGGTTTTACGTGGATTACAGGGCTTTGAACAAGGAGACAGTACCGGATAAGCTTCCTATTTCGGTGATTGACGAGTTACTAGATGAGTTGTACAAAGCAGTAGTGTTTTCTAAGAAGGACCTGAAGTCAGGCTACCACCAAATCAGAATGAAGGAGGAGGATATTCAGAAGACGGCTTTTAGGACGCACGAGGGGCATCACGAGTTTTTGGTAATGCTTTTCGGGCTCACTAACGCCCCTGCTACTTTTTAGTCTTTAATGAACAGAGTGTTCAGGCAGCATCTCAGGAAGTTTGTGCTAGTTTTTTTTATGACATTTTGGTGTACAACCAAACGGGGGAGGCGCACTTAGAGCACCTGAAAGAGGTTCTAAAGATCCTACAGGAACATTAGCTGAAAGCTAACCTAAAGAAATGCAGTTTTGCCCAATCTAGGGTGGAATATTTGGGATATGTGGTGTCTCAAGAGGGAGTGGCAGCCGACCAGTCCAAGATTGAGGCCATGCAGAACTGGCCAAGGCCTAGGAACATAAGGGAGTTGAGGGGTTTCTTAGGTCTGAATGGTTACTACAGGAAGGGCTACAGTCAAATCGCGTGGCCTTTGACTGAGCAACTGAAGAAAGACAATTTTAGGTGGGGAGAGGCAGCAACTCAGGCTTTTGAGAGATTAGAAAAAGTCATGATGACGGTTTTAGTGTTAGCTCTTCCAGATTTCAGTCAGACCTTTATAGTGGAGACTGATGCATCAGGGTATGGCTTGGGAACAGTTTTGATGCAGGATCACAAGCCTGTAGCTTGTTTCAGTCAAGTGCTATCGACCAAGGCTCGATTGAAGTCAGTATATGAGAGAGAGCTGATGGCCATCATCCTATCCATTCAGAAATGGCACCCTTATATTTTGGGGAGGCACTTCATTGT